GTGGATACATACCATATCTTTCTTTCATAGCCTGGCTTACTTCACTCAGCAATAGATCCTCCATATCTGACCACTTTCTATCAAATTCCAGGGTCTTGTTATTTTTTATGGCTGAGTAGTATTCCATAGAGTATATATACCACACTTTTCCAATCCATTCATCGGTTTGTGGACATTTAGGTTGGTTCCATGAATCAGTGTATTTTTGTGAAAATTGTACTATCTGCCCAAAATGCTCTTTTTACATGGAGATGATAATTCAACAAATATACTTCGGTGTTTTACAGTGAGAGGATAAGCTGCCATTGCTTTTAGGGATAAAAAGAGATGTGGTTTCTACTTCAAAGGAAGCATCTCCAGTGTGTCCTATTCTGTGTCACCATGAGCCCACAGAAATTCCACTGCAGAGTTATTGCATCACTTCTCAAACCATCATGTTCATTTTCTAGTTGGTCAACAAGACTCTGATCTAGAATAAAGATTATTCTTGCAATAGAAACTGTGTTTTGAGAATGAGGCAGGCATACAAGAACACTTTCTGAATGAGTGCATGTCTCCTTGTTAGATTAGCAATGCTAATCTATGTCTAACTTACATTTTCAGAATTTTCAAATACCAAAATCACAGTGAAACCACTGGAAATGATCAAAGCTCTTTCCATATTTTTACTCCTTTATCTTACTGAGTTGGTGATGTTTTTCAGGGCTGCTGTAGCACCAAGTATCACATTCAACAATGTGATGAGAAAAAAAAAATTTAAATTAAAAAAAAGGCAAGTAGGAGATGAAGGTCTTTCTCCTTACATGTGTCTTCTTTTCAGGAAGGGAAATCTCAGGCAGCCCTAGCAGATGTCCTTATCTTATTGACTAGGTTGAGGTCACAGACTACCCTTGGAACTATTATTGCAAAGAGTATTGCTGTGATCAATCCTGATTCTTCCCTTGGAGCAAATGCCATCTAAATAAAGCCTGAGTGAGAAGGATACATGGGTTGCAGGTCAGGCAGCCAATGGTGCCTTGAATCAGCAGGATAGATCGGATGTACTGAGGTTGCAGCCAGAGCTACTAGGGGTGAGTGAAGGGAGATGGATTTGAGCTCATCCCACTGGTGCCCATAGAACTGCTTCAGGAAGTGATGTCAGTTGGTTACTGGTTGAAAAGAACGGAGTTTGGGAGGAAGTAGAGATGTTCCCAATTAGGGAAGCAGCTGGTATTATGACTTGCTTTGCCAAGGAACATGAGTAAATATGAACTGTGTCACAGGCAAGGAGAGCTTCCCTTATGCCTGAGAGGTTTTGACATCCCTTTTGTTCCTTCCCTCTGCAGTGAGAGCAGACTGTTCCAGTAAGTGAATACTTAGAACAACAGGACATGTGTGCAGACCCATAATTTCCCTGGAGCCCAGCATCAGCAGTGCAGCTGACCCATAGCTAACGTGCAACGTGAATGACAGTAGGTCTACCTGGATGGATAGTCATTGGGATTTTTCAATTGTTTTTTAGCTAGTCTTACCGCAGCAAATGATGTATCAACAACATTTAGTTGTCTTCATAGATTTAGAACATACTAATGTATCACTAAATAACTTAAGCTTCAGTTGGATGTGTGTTTAAGCTATAGAAATAGAATCATACACTGTGTCTTCTGCGACTAGCTTCTCATCCCCTCACCCTGGACTCCACATAATCTTGGCAATCATTCATGCTGTTGTGTGTAGCTTAGCACTCACTTTCACTGTGATAATCCATTTTATAATTTATCCATTCTTTTGCTGCTGGACATTGGGATTTGTTTGGGTTACTATAAGACTATTACTATTCTCATAGCATGTCAAAAAGACATATACTAGCATGAACCAGTAGCTGGACTCTATCCCAAAAATTTATCCCAGAGAAGCTATGTAGATCCCAGAAACTCAAAGACACCAATATGTGTGTGTGTGTGTGTGTGTGTGTGTGTGTGTGTGTGTAATCTTCCAAGAAACCCCAAAGGAGACAGTAGGTTTTTTGGGTTTTTTTTTTGGAGAGATTTTTGCTATAGGGAGCGTGCGCTCGCCAGAGAGAGACATAGAGACAGAAAGCGAGAAATCACCCCCCAGGGGGGATGGTCATGCCGCAATCCCTTCTCCTCCATTCTCCTCTCAGGATCCTGGGCACACACACACACACACACACACACACACACACGCGCCCGCACCCAGCGTGAGTTTTAAGCCACCGGGTCCGGGATGCAAACCACGGTCGACTACGTGGGAGTCCAGCAACAAAGCCATTAGGCTAACTGCTGGTTCCCAGGAGACAGAAGGTTCTTACTCATTGCAAAGGCAGGCTGCTCCAGAGGGGCGAAGCGGACAGCATGGGGTTGCACACAAAGAACAGGCTGGAGGAAGATGTTCGCTATCACTTGAATTGCTTTAGTCATGGCCTGTCCTTCACAGGTGTAACTGGTAGGCAGGATTCAGAGCTGCACAAAACCCCTCCTGGAGAAAAGGATGTTTATTCACCATTTATTTATCCCGGGCCACACTTGCATAAATCAGACACCAAAGGGCACATAGTGCACATTCTCTACATGTAGGCACCAAAGAGGTCGCATCCACGTGTAGCGTGTGCGCGCCCACACGCGGACAACTAACTCCCCTAGTGACTGGGGAACTGACACGCCTGTTGCAATGCACTTTAAAAAAAAAAACTATTTATTATTATTTATTTATTCATTCATTCATTTTTAATTTGACCAGAGAGAGACATAGGGTGAGAGTGAGAGAGAGAGAGGAAGTGAGAAAGAAAGCCACCAGGTCCAGGACTCGAACCCCAGTCGTCCATGTGGGAGTGTCCAGCGCCTTAACCACCATGCCACCTGCTGGTCCCTGCAATGCACTTTTATTTTTTTTTTTTTTTTTGAGGTGTTTTTTTTTTTTTTTTTTTTTTTTGTCAGGCGTGTGTGCTCGCCAGACAGAGAGAGACAGAGAGACAGAAAGCGAGAAATCACCGCCAGGGGTGTTGGCCACGCTGCAATCCCTTCTCCTCCATTCTCTTCTCGGGATCTTGGGCACGCACACATACGCGCCCGGCGTGAGTTTAAGCCACCGGGTACGGGACGGGAACTGCGGTAAACTACGTGGCAGTCCAGCGACATAGCCATTACGCTAACTGCTGGTCCCTGCAATGCACTTTTGAGCGCGCGCACTTTTCTGAGAAGTGCAGTCTAGAGGTAAACCCAGATAAGGAGCTGTTTCCCTTGAGAAGTGGAGACATTCCAAAAGAAACCCACTGAGACCCTACTAGGAAAAGGCAGCTCAACACACGTCCTCTCCCCTGCGTACCGCACACGCCCTGTCCGCAGCCGCGGAGCGACGCCAGCGGGAACTTCCGAACTCAGCCGGACTATCCCGCTTCCCCAACGCAGGCGCCGCGGCTCTCTAGCAGCCGAGTTTGTTCTCTGTGGCCTTTTCCGGGGCTGTCCGGAAGTGACGTCTGCTAGGACGCGCCTGCGGTGGGTGTCTGCTATGAACAGCGCTATGGCGGCTGTGGCAGTGTCAGAGTCCTGGCCCGAGCTGGAACTGGCGGAGCGCGAGCGGCGGCGGGAACTATTGCTGACTGGGCCGGGGCTGGAGGAGCGGGTGCGCGCGGCAGGCGGGCGGCTACCTCCGAGGCTGTTCACTTTGCCGCTGCTGCACTACCTGGAAGTGAGCGGCTGCGGGAGC